TGCGCTTCCAGACCGCACGGCCCACTGGCTTCTCAAAGTCTGGCTCAGAAACCAAATAAAAAGCTTTTCATTTACACTCAAGTTTATGTGGAGCAGCTCAAAAGCCTTATTTTCATGTCTTACACAGCTCCCACCTGAATAAATTCATTTTAAGTGCCACTTTTCCATTTGTGGATTACAAAGCTGTGAGAAGGTCTGAGGGACAGCCCCTCAGGCTCCCTGGGATGCTACAGGGCAGGCTGGGGTGCAAGGTACCCCTGAGGGACCAAGAAGGCCGAAGGATGCCAAGACCCTGGGCAGTAAACACCACAGCCCTTGGAAGGGCAGTCCTGGGCCAAGCCCCTATCGGAGGCAGCCGACCTTCCAGCTTGGTCAGAGTTGAAAGTGTGGTCCTTAGAGTCCTGGCTTCAAATCTCAGCTCAGCAAGTTCCTAGGTTTGTGTGCTTGGGGCATGCGACGGCCTCTAAGGCTTATTTCTCCATCCATAAAATGGAGATGACACTTTCGGGACAAGGCTATTGTATTGATTCAATGAGATGATGAAATATAAAATGCTAACTGCTGTGGATAGCTCACAGAAACCCCCAACAGACAGCATCCATTGCCACTAAGATTCATCTTTAAATGTACAAAGCACAGACTCCATGCTCCTTCCTCTTTGGACATCACCAGGAAGAGGGAAGTTGGACTGATCTAAGGATACCATACCCAGGCCTGGTCTCCCCATCGTCCTTCCAACCGTCAGTAGCTATAATTTCAATAAACAGCTCCCATGCTAGGTGCTGGGTATATGCGAAACAGCCATAGTGCCTGGCCTCCAGAGCCCTCAGTGTGGTGGTAAAATACACAGTCCTAACACAGGGTGACTTGCTACCATGCCTGTGTGCATACCACCAGAACAGCACAAGAGGAGGAACAGCTGATCCTGCCTAGCGACATCTAGAAATAATGATTGTTGAAAACAATGATAAGGTCCTATGTGACCTGGTAGCCTCCACCCTGGCCTCATTTCCCAGTTATCCCTCCTCTCCATCTTGTACCAGATTCAGTCCCACCTGATGGCTCTGCTGGGATGCCCCCCAACATTCATTCTATCTATCTACCTGTCTGTCTGTCTAGATAGAGTCCTGCTCTGTCGCCCAGGCTGGAGTGCAGTGGTGCGATATCCGCTCACTGCAGCCTCTGCCTCCTGGCTTCAAGTGATTCTCCTGCCTCAGTCTCCCCAATAGCTGGGATTACAGGCACGCCATCACACCTGGCTAATTTTTTATTTTTAGTAGAAACAGGGTTTCATCATGTTGGCGAGGCTGGTCTCAAACTCCTGACCTCAAGTGATTCACACGCCTTGGTCTCCCAAAGTGCTGGGATTACAGGTGTGAGCTACCGCACCAGGCGTCCCCCAGCATTCTCATGATTGGCACCTCCACATCCCCAGGGTCTCTGCTCACTTGTTGTCTCCCAATAAAAGCCTTCCCAGCCCCACCAAGGACGTCTTTGTTCCCTCTCCCTGCTTTACCTTTCTTCATTCCAATAGTACAATCAAATCTACTTGCTTACATGTTTCTCATCCATCTTTCCTACTAGAGTGTGACCTCCATGAGGGTGGGGACTGTTTTCTTCATAACTATGACCTCTCAACCTAAAACGGTACTTGAATCCACAAATTAATGAGCCACAGTCAGAAGGTGGGTGCTCACTGCATGTGAAGTATTAGCCTAAGAGCTTCATGCACATCAGCATTTCATCCTCACAGCCTCTCTGGGCAGGTGCAGAGGTCATGGCAGCCAGGAGCTCACAAGGTGGGGAGACGGTGTCTCTGGAGGGCAGGTCTAGGTAAACAGGTGCTACTCTAGGGCACCTGATGTGAAAGGTTCAGTGGAGGCTGGAGGAGACACTGACAGCACCCACCCCCGCCACCAGTAACTGTGGGCCCCGCCCAAGCCCACTGCATAGGTTCCTCCAGGCAGTCCCACTAGGTCCATCTGAGCCGCTGTGCTGGCCTTTCTCTTTGGACATCACCAGCAAGAGGGAAGTTGGACCACTGTAAGGATGCCATACCTACGCCTAGCCTCTCCCTTGTCCTTCCAACCTTATATCATATTATTAAGTCCTTCCAAATTATATTTGGTGGCTATAATTTTGATACACAGCTCCCAGGGATACATCCCAGGGTGGATAAATAAAGCTAAGGGTCTCTCTCGTGTCTGAGACCTGCCCTCCAGTGTCTGCCTTCCCTAAGGGCCAAGGAGATCAAGTGGATGAGAAAGTTCCCAGCAATTCCCACGTGCCCACAGCAGCCAGCATTCACTGAATGCTCATCATACCCAGGCCCATGCCAAGGCTCTATATACATTCTCATGTCATCCTTACACTCTCTGGGTAGTTATGGCTCTCCTCTTTTATGGAGGAGGACCCAAGGATCAGAGAAGTTAAGCCACTTCCATGCTCACAGAGCTAAGAAGTGGCAGAGCCAGGATTTGAACTCCAGTGTGTTTGATTCCCAAGGTCCTGCATTACCCACTCTGTTCCAGTGCCTCAGCCCTGCTCACATAACTTCTTCCCTAGCTTGGGTCTGCTTCCCTGATCGCCCAGGATGCACAGCAGAACAGAGAGCACAGGCCCAGGGACCAGACCTGGGCTCAAATCCCTGCCTCACTACTTCAAATGTGTCTGGGCAGTTGGTTACCCTCTTGGAGCTTCAATTCCATCTGCATGGGAAGGTGAAGGATACCTACTGCAGAGATGTGAGAATAACTGAGATGCGTGCCTACCAGGTACATAGCAAACACAGCACAGCCAGTGAGAGTCATCTCTGGACAAGCCTCTGCTGGCCCTGGCATTTGCTCCCAGCTAGGTCCTGCCCAGTGGCCAGCAAAGGCTGGGTCAAAGCCTCTCTCCAACTCCCAGGAGAGCTGCCCCCAGAGGACAAAATGCAGGGATTCTGCCAGGACCCTCACAGCAGGCTCCATCCCTCCACTGATAAGTGTCTCAGGATTTTCCCTCTTTGGGGGAGAGTCCCGCCTACTGAATCTGACTGGGCTCAGGCACACTCTATAGCTCCAGTTCTCCCACATATACTTTGGAGGAAAAAATGTTTTACATTTATCAGGTACCTGATAAGTGCCAAACTCATTTTAAGTACATGAGCTTCAATCTCTACTTGCAGGTTGGCAACATCTGTGGACATATTATGGGATATATTAAAGCCTCAGTTTACTCTTCTGCAAAATGGAGATGATGGGCCGGGCGCGGTGGCTCAAGCCTGTAATCCCAGCACTTTGGGAGGCCGAGACAGGCGGATCACGAGGTCAGGAGATCGAGACCATCCTGGCTGACACGGTGAAACCCCGTCTCTATTAAAAAAATACAAAAAACTAGCCGGGCGAGGTGGCGGGCGCCTGTAGTCCCAGCTACTCAGGAGGCTGAGGCAGGAGAATGGCGTGAACCCGGGAGGCGGAGCTTGCAGTGAGCCGAGATCTGGCCACTGCACTCCAGCCTGGGCGGCAGAGCGAGACTCCGTCTCAAAAAAAAAAAAAAAATGGAGATGATGATTTACCTGCTTCACTAAGTTGTGAGGATTAAATGAGATAAAGCATGTGAAATGCTCATGGCAGTGCCTGGCACACGAGAAATAATAAATGTTCGCTTTCATCATGTCTCACAGCTAAGGAAACAGACACTAGGAGAGCAACCAATCTGCCCGGCGTCTCCGGTAAGGTGATGGGCTTTGAACCGAGACCTGCCTAACACCAGACCACCTTCCGTGCTGACATTTCAACACGCCCATCCAGGGACCAGTGCTTATTTGTATTTCAATAGAAAACTATAGCACATCCTTGCAGAATATCAAATTCTAGTCCTGTTCATTGCCTTTGAGTTTTCACCTCTTGGTAAATCACATTTTACTTTTTACCTTGTTACCTACTGTGAATTGGACTGGATCTTGCCATTCTGCACATTTCACAGTTCTTACCAACTTCTCAATTTTTCTACTTTGTAAGTTTTCTCCCACCCTCCTGACGTCACTGAGAGCTAAAGGCTGACTGCCCAAATCCTCATTGCAACTCTAGGCTGTCTTATAGCTGATCTTCCCCCCAAGATCTAAAGTAGCCTTGCAAGCTGGATGACTTGACATAAACTTCAAAGGACCCATCACCACAGCAGATCATGAATCTCCCTCGTTTAAATGCCTGATGGTTAGCACCATCCAGCAAGTATCCTCTCCTGCCAGGCCCCAACAGACATTCAAGCTGGTCCTTAATGAACAAAAGGTGATCGAACAAGAAACGGACCTATATTATTCAGAGAAAAGAAGAATTTTTCTCTCCCTGAACAAGAGGAAGCACTGACAAAAACCCTTTCTTTGACCAAACTTTAGTTAGGCTCTTCTGAGCCTTCTTCTGAACCTTGGCCTTCTGTATCCCTCCTGTCCTTGCCAGGCCTGCAGAGCCCAGTCTTAGCAAGAGTCCTGCAAATTCAGTTTAGGGAGTCCCCTACCCTTGATGTCTGATAAACTGCTTCATCCCCTACCTTGGATGTATAAGTCCTTGGCCTGCCCTTAGCAAGAGTCCTTTTAAGTCTAGCGAGAATCCCATTCCCTTGATGTCTCCTCTTAGTAATTTTCCATCCACTGACCCCCTCCTCTCTGTTCCTTGGCTGTAAATCCTCAACTGTCTTGCTGCATTTAGAACTGAGCCCCATCTTTCTCCCCTATTGCAACAACCCTGTTGCAAGACTCCTGAGCAAAGTCTTCCTTACCATTTTTACAAGTGCCAGAATAATTTTTTTATTTAACACCACTCAGGCTTGCTTCAAGTAGGAGGGCCTCCCCTGCCTGAAAATGCTCCATTCATATCCCAGTCAAATACCATCCCCAGATCTCCTCTCACAGCCATCTCCCTCTCCTCACAGCAAGCAAACATCTGACAAGGACTGCATTGCTTTCCCCACCACCACCCTGGGGATCTTCACCTCTCTCAGGTCACTGCCAGCCCCCCTACCTGCCCTGTCAGCCGTCAGCCCCCAGCTTCACGCCAGTCCATTCACGTAGAGAACACGGCTATGAAAATACAGAAACGCACTTCCCATCTGGAAACGCCTCAGAGCTAAATATTATGTAGGATGTGATGGTGTGCGTCTACCAGCAAAAAAGCGAGGCTTAGAGAAACACTGAGACACGAGGAGACTGCTAGTGAGAGGCCAGTGCGTCAGCAAGAGCTAAATTTAGCAACCTAATCCTCTAACTTCATTCTTTCAGGAAAGAGAGCGGCAGGAGAAAAATGTATGAACATATTTAAATAAAAGAACCTTTGAGAGAGTGAGAAAATCCACATCCTAACTGACCTGTTGCTACTTTGCAGAAATGATCATAGAGAGGCGACATTTTGGGGACCTAGCCCTGAGGTCAGTGGTCAACAGAAGGGCTCTATCCAAGGAATCAAATTCCCTGGCAGAAGGTCCCTTCGGAGCTAGTGGCTGCATAGCACAAAGGAAGCTGCAGCAAGGGGAAGACAGTCTTAAAAACTGGAAGTTCTGGAAGAACCTGTAACACAGCTTTCAAACAGATTTTGCTTTTGAGTAGAGTGGCTGGTATAAAAACACGCATCATCTAGGCACTAAATGGCTCCAGGGAGTGTTTGAAAGATGAGGAGGAGAGACAGGAAAGTCACAGGCAATGACAAGTGGCGCATGTGAACACAGGTGTGAAGCCCAAGTTCAAGCTCAGCTCTGCCTGTGACCAGCTCTAGGGGCAGGGTGTGGGGAGTCACCCTAGTCTAGTTGCCACAGCCTAACTCATTCGTGAAACAAAGGTAATGGCCAGGTGCAGTGGCTCACGCCTGTAATCCCAACACTTTGGGAGGCCGAGGCGCATCACCTGAGGTCAGGAGTTTGAGACCAGCCTGGCCAATGTGGCAAAACCCCATTTCTACTAAAAATACACAAATTAGTCAGGCGAGGTGGCTCACATCTGTAATCCCAGCTACTCAGGAGACTGAGGCTGAGGCAGGAGAATAGCTTGAAGCTGGGAGACGGTGGTTGCAGTGAACGGAGATTGTGCCACTGCACTCCAGCCTGGGAGACAGAGTGAGACTCCATAAAGAGAGAGAGAGAGAGAGAAAGAGAGGAAAGAGAGAGAAAAAGAGAAAGAGAGAGGAAGAGAGGAAGAAAGAGGAAGAGAAGAAGAAAGAGAGAGACAGAGAAAGGAGAAGGGAGGAAGGGAGGAAGGGAGGGAGGGAGGAAGGGAGGGAGGGAGGAAGGGAGGAAGGGGCCTGTCCATGCTTTAAGACATGTTTAATTCCGAAGATACTACTTATCTCTGGATTTATGTGTAGGGCAAGAGGTGGGTAGCTTAAAAAATTTTCCCCCTGGAATCAAACCTTCTGCTTTGATCCATTATTAAATTATTTCATCACACTACTAAAAACGTATTGATCCCCAAAAAGCGTTAATATTTTTATTACAAACAGTCTGTATAAATCAGTAAGAAAAATACAAGCACCCCAATAGGAAAATGAATAAAGCAATTCACAAAAACATATAAATAGCTATTAATTATATGGGGGAACAAAACAACCTTACTGGTAACCAGAAAAAGAGGCATAATCAAATAAAAACAAGGCCAGGCATGGTGCCTCACACCTGTAATGCCAACACTTTGGGAAGCCAAAGTGGGAGGATTTCTTGAGGCCAGAAGTTCGAAACCAGCCTGGGCAACATAGTGAGGCCCCGTCTCTACAAAAATAAACATTTAGCCAGACATAGTGGCATGCCTGTAGTCCCAGCTCCTAAGGAGGCTGAGGCAGGAGGATAGCTTGAGCCCAGGAGTTCAAAGCTGCAGTGAGCTATGATTGTACCACTGCCCTCCAGCCTAGGCGACAGAGCAAGACCAGCATTTGGCAAAGTCCTAAAAATCCAATAATACCCAGCAAGGGCCAGGATTCAGAGAATCATGATGCCCCTCACACAACAATAGGAAGGCAAATTAGCATTCCTTTAGGGTCAGTTTGGCCAGAGCATATACAAAAATTCTTACATGGATATCCCATTGGACCCCATAATTCCACATGGACAAAGATTTATCTGTAAAGATTTAACCACAATATGATTTTATAATCCTAAAAAACTGGAAAGTCTTCTATCCAATAAAAGGAATACATCATATATGGTGGAACAGTTAAAACTGTTACATAACAATTAAAAATTAGGCTGTAAGAAAAATCTAAAGATATAGGAAGATGTTTATATTATGTGAAAAACAGATTCTGAAGCTGTACATACCAAATTTTATTTATAAGCCATCTCTCACACACATGACACATAGGCACAATGAAGTAAATACCAGGAGATAGACAAAAATATTACCAGTGTTATTTATGGGAGTTGGATAATCATGAGTTGTTTTGATTTCCTTACACATTTTTATTTTCAAAGTTCTTTTTTTGTTTGTTTGAGACACAGTCTCACTCTGTCACGCAGGCTGGCATGCAGTGGCATGAACATGGCTCACTGCAGCCTTGACCTCCTGGGCTCAAGCCATCCTCTGGTCTTAGCCTCCCAAGTAGCTGAGACTACAGGCGTGTGCCACCGTGCACAGCTAATTTTTGTATTTTTTGTAGAGACGGGGTTTCGCCATGTTGCCCAGACTGGTCTAGAACTCCTGGGAGATCCACCCACCTCTGCCTCCCAAAATGCTGGGATTATATGCATGAGCCACGGTGCCCAGCTCGTGCTTTCGTATTCAGAAAACTCTGTATTACTTTTTTAAAAGAAAGGGGAAAAAAAAGTATCTTTCAGTCTTTCCAACAAGTAAAAGGCACTAAATTAACTACTCCAGCCAGAAACCTGCCCTAGGCCAGAGTCTGCCCTGCCCAACAAACTCCTTTCACATCCTCATCCATGACCCTGAAGAACTTTCAGGCTATGGGCCATACATTTTAGTCTTCCTCTTGCCCACTTTCTTTTTGTTTGCTTTTTTGGAGACGGAGTACCGCTCTGTCGCCCAGGCTGGAGTGCAGTGGCGCGATCTTGGCTCACTGCAAGCTCCGCCTTCCGGGTTCACGCCATTCTCCTGCCTCAGCCTCCCAAGTAGCTGGGACTACAGGCACTCACCACCACGCCCCGCTAATTTTTTGTAGTTTTAGTAGAGACAGGGTTTCACCACGTTAGCCAGGATGGTCTCGATCTCCTGACCTCACGATCCGCCTACCCCAGCTTCCCAAAGTGCTGGGATTACAGGCGTGAGCCACGGCACCCGGCCTCCTCTTGACCACTTTTTACCTAAGGTCTATAGTCTGCAATTCATGAAGGTCAGATCCCAGCCCAAGTCCTGAGGACTAGTCTAGTCCTCTAGGAACTAGACAAGTTCCTAGCACTTGTCTAGTCCAGCCTTCAAGCAAATGAAAGAGGCAAACCACCCTACAGCTAGAAAGTCCTGATGGTTCTCATGATGGTTTCAGAGATTCTCATCAGCTCCTGGGAGCCTCTCACACAAACTCGGAAGTCAGCAGGGCACCGTCAGCACTCCCGTTTTATGAAAGAGAAAGCGAGGCTCAGAAAGTTGAAGATGTGCCCCAAAGCACACACAGAAACAGGACAGGAGCCCAGAGCTGGCTTACAGTTGAGAGCGCTCTCCAATCCAGCTGCCTGCCGACCCCAGGCTCTCCTCAGCCATTGCCAGGGAACTGCAGCTGGGAGGGAACCGGGGCCCCAGCATCCCTACCCCCATTTGGCAAAGGCCACGCCTGTGGGCTCACTTCAATCTCCTTCATTCATCCTCATCTCTACCCTCTGCCCCTGCTCCCACTCCCATAATAAAAAGAATCAGGGAAATCAGGAGAAGCTCCTCTCATAACTCATTAATTCACTTAACTGTCTAATCTTCTACTATTATCTCACAGGTCAAGTTGTTCTAATTTTTCAATCAAAATTGTGTGGACTGGGTGCAGTGACGTGTGCCTATAATCCCAGCTACTTGAGAGGCTGAAACAGAAGGAATACTTGAGCCCTGGAGTTCAAGGCTGCAGTGCACTATGATCTGATCACGTCTACGAATAGCCACTGCACTCCAGCCTGAGCAACATAACATGTATGGGTCAGAGCTTGTTCAGCTGTGAGTGATAGAAACTAGAGTCAATCTGGCATAAATTAAAAAAAAAAAAGGAATTCATTAGCTCATGTCACTAGGGAGTAGCCGGATCTAAGGCCTCAAACATCAGAGCTCTCCCTGTCCTTTCTCTACTTAGTGAGCAGGATATTAATCAACAACCTCACACTCACATCCTACCAAGTCCAGCAGAAATAGACCATCTTCTCCCAAGAACTCTGGCAGAGAAGTACCAGGAAGGACTCAACTGGCTCAGACCACCTGCCTACTCTTAAGGACACAGGGCAAAGGTCAGCCCCATCCAACTCCATAGGAAAAGGTGTTCTCCTCCCAGAGGGAATGGGCGATAATGGAAAGGAAACCAAAAACAGATTTCCACCTAAACAAATCTCTCCTGCTTTAAGATCGAATCTAATTTTTGGCACAGAGATTCATTGGCAGTGGTAAGCATGAGTGACACCACAGGGCTGAGTTACTCTGTCACCTAGGCGAAGTGAGTCATTAGCTAACATTCACTAGAAATGCCCAAATACGGCCGGGCGCAGTGGCTCAAGCCTGTAATCCCAGCACTTTGGGAGGCCGAGGCGGGCGGATCACAAGGTCAGGAGATCGAGACCACAGTGAAACCCCATCTCTACTAAAAATACAAAAAATTAGCCGGGCGCGGTGGCGGGCGCCTGTAGTCCTAGCTACTCAGGAGGCTGAGGCAGGAGAATGGCGTGAACCCAGGAGGCGGAGCTTGCAGTGAGCCGAGATCGCGCCACTGCACTCCAGCCTGGGCGACAGCGTGAGACTCCGTCTCAAAAAAAAAAAAAAAAAAAAAAAAAAGCCGGGCGCGGTGGCTCAAGCCTGTAATCCCAGCACTTTGGGAGGCTGAGACGGGCGGATCACAAGGTCAGGAGATCGAGACCATCCTGGCTAACACAGTGAAACCCCGTCTCTACTAAAAAATACAAAAAGCTAGCCGGGCGAGGTGGCGGGCGCCTGTAGTCCCAGCTACTCGGGAGGCTGAGGCAGGAGAATGGCGTGAACCCGGAAGGCGGAGCTTGCAGTGAGCTGAG